AAAGTTTCCTAAATCCTTATACCAAATTTCTCTTATGTTAGTATGAACATAAAACCACTTTTGACCATGAAAACAGACCATAGATACGTATTTGAGAAAGGCTCACTGCCCTAAAAGTACCAACATCAATTTACACAGAAGCTAGTGTATTCATGCTCACTAAACAAATTAAAGCACCTCCATGCTTGTAGGAGAAGACATCAGAATCTGAATAATAGAGTCTGGTTTTTTTCACCCTATTTTAAGTGTGTGTGGTATTTTAAAAAAATTAATTATCAACATTAGGTTAGTGATTTAAAGTCTGACTTTCACAGCATTTTCAAGCATGAATTCTCTCTCCAATTAACATTTATTGACCATCATCTCCCTGTCAATCACTAACTAAATGCTAGGATATGACTTTGCATAAAATATAGTCCGTGTATCAGATTCAAATTAAATACATTCTACAAAATGACTGGCACATAATCATCAAAAAATGGAAATCAAGAAAAGTCTCTGGAACTTATCTCTACCAAGAGATAAACAATAAAACACAACTGATAAACAAGTAGCTTCATTTGGAAACAAATTCTTACATTATAAAATACAGTCATACATTGGAATTTATTTAAACAATTGACAGAATTTGAAGAATGTGTGCAAATCAGATATTGACAATTGGTGTGGTTTTCCAGTCCTCTTGAACTGCCATTAATACAAAGCTGTAGCCTCAAAGGCTTCAGCAACAGAGTTGATTTCTCAATATTTTGGAGGTTATGAAGTCCATAATCAAGGAGCCAGCAGATTAGATACTTTAGCTAAAGTTCTCTTGCTGGCTTGAAAATCATTACCTTTTTGCCCTAGACTCACCTGATAGAAAGGGAGGACGCTAACTCTCTGGTGACTATTCTAAAAGCATAACCCCATGAGTCTCCTGCCTTACGATCTTGTATAAATATAATTACCTCTAGAAGACCCCAAATCCCACATGTCCACATGGATGCTGATTGTAGGAGACAAAGTTCAAAGAAGCTGAGGGTAATGGATCATTACTGCTGATTTACAAATGGATCGGAAGGAAAATTTCTCTCCTATAGCTGCAAATTTCTGAAAGCTTATGATTCTTTCAAAACGTATTTTAAAGATTATTTCTAGCTTAAGATTCTCAATTATATTAGGAAAGACATGTAAACAACTATAAATAAATATCATTAAATGCAGTGAAATATTTTAGAGTGTAATAAAGGATTGAAACAGAGCAAGAAAGAGTAAATTTGTCCAGGAAGAAAGCATGCTAGATCTCCAAAAGGAAAAAAAAAAATCTTTAGCAGCAAAAATGTAAACAAGTCAGGGTGCAATAAGCCCATTTTATTCAATAATGATTATATGACAATGGTAGAATATTTGATTTTTATTTTTCATGTCACTTGATTTTTATCAATCTATTACCTTAATTCTCCATTTTCTTTTAGGTTAATGCATTACAAAATAGTTACAGAAAAATGAATAAAGGAAAAGGTGGTAATAAATAGTGTAAAGTTAATGGTGAATTCAGCAAAAATGTGCCAACATTATACTTGAATAGCATAATATGGTTTAACAACTATGACAATGACTAGACCAAAACATTGAAACCAAAGACATTGCAAAGGTTTACATTTGAAACACTGTTCTGGATTTTAAAAGATCATCAACAAACACACCAATAAACAAGGAACCATGACCAATGTCATTTCCTCCTTCCCAATGACTTAATAATTGTCCAGTAAGAAATTTATAAAATTAGTTAAGAACTTCTACAAGTTACATGAGGAAAAAAACCATTATGCATTAAGATATTAGTCTTAAAGGAAAATTTTGTGATTCCCAGTGATTCTTAACTTTTATACAAGGAAAACTGAGGTTGTCACATCCGCTAACCATATTTTAAATTTACCTTGTAACCAAATTTAGACTAATGTGAAAGTACCTCTTTCAAGCAAACTAGTAACACTCCTACTTTTGTAGGATAAGATAATGTCAAAGAATAAGTGGCATGAGCAAATCACATTATTCAAGGTATGGTAAAGAGCATTATATTTTCCTAATAAAGTTCATATAACAAAATGTCTTTTTGAATAAATTATCACTGATAGAACTGGCAATGTACTTCAGTGGCACAGGACCTGCCTGGCAAGTACAAGGTCCTGAGTTTGATTCTCAGTACAAAAAAAAAAATTACCACTGATATTTTTTATCCCATAGAAACAAATTTATCATATTAACATTAATGTCATATATGCATTTTATTGAATGCAAAATGACCAAGTGCTATTTGATCCATATGAAGAAGTGTATATCAGCACTCCTCGAACTAATTTTTGCAAAATTTTATAAACATTTTTTCTGGCATACTTGATTTTGATGTATTATTTTTAAATATGATTTTGTAAATGAATTTCCTAAAATCACTACAACTAAATTCAAAATAATTTCTGTTCTATACTCAAATATTATGCTTATATCATTTGCATCTAATTCATTCCAGGAATAATAGGCAGAAAGTAGCACGTTAGCAATTTTATTTTTCATATTTAAGAGTTTTATTTGATCAGTCCCTTTTCTCAAATTTCAATTCAACTTAATTGGACAAATATTTGTTCTGTGCATTAACTTCAAAGATGATTAACACATGATTGTTATTCTCCCAAAGCTAAAAATCTAGTGGGGTAAAAGATACATACAAAATGAATATGATATGTGACATCATTTGAGCAGATCTGGTTTCCCTGAAGTACTAGAGAGACGTATAACTGGTGAAGGCAGAGGTGAACGGGAGGTCTCTAAGTGGTTATGGAAGTAAATATTGAGAAAGTTGGCAGATTTTCAGCTTTACATCCCTACAGCACACTCTCAGGAGCATTTACATTTAGAATTGTTCTTTGCCTTAGCCATGGCTGTACCCTCACCAAATACTGCTTGCTATACTTCTTTACTGTAACACTTTGTCTTCTCTCCTTAATTTCTTGATTGCATGTACAAATGGGAGCTATTATTTTGTATGCTTGCCAAAAGTGTAATTAAGGAAGGCCTCTTTTTGTTCTGTTTTAAAGTTCTATTTTAAAAAAATGTTTAGAAAGTCTATTAAATAAATCATGATGTACTCAAGATTGTCTAATATATAGTCATTACTAGGAGGAAATGGATAATATGTTGACTTAGAGGAATATCTATAATTAAAATAATAAAAAGCATAGACTTGTGTATGTAATATGAAACCAGTATGTGAGCATATTGATATTTATGTTTTATATACAAAGATGGAATCTGAAAGCACTAAAACTTTAGAAGTAACTAATTTTGAGGGATACAATAATTTCTAACTTATTATAATACTCTTTAATTTTAGATAATGCAAACAAAGATAAGTATAAAATATTTACTATCAGTTTCTCACTTAAAATTACAAAAACAGTTGCTAAATTTAAAAAATTAACTTCTAGAAAATGTTAGGGATTATACATTATCTGCAGATATATGTTCAGATTCCCACATAATAAAATTCTAGTAAACAGCGATGGTAATAAATATGTCTTTACCTTGACAAAATTCTAATTTTATTAGAAGTGAAGTCTAAAATATAGCTTCGTTAATAAGTATTAATAATATTTTCTTTCTGTATACTAAAAATAAGCAATAATCAACTAAAGGTAACAGGGAATCATGTAACAAATTTGTGTAACCTACTTAATAATTTTTAAAGCATCAATAAATGGAAATAAAATATTTCCTTTGACTGCATAGTAGACAACTTATAAAACTTGAGTCAAATCACAAAATCATAGTCATTCTGTAGAAAATTATCCAATGCTTTATCACAAAGTCATCTGTAGATCTAGAATACAACAGTTTGAGAAAATCATGCTGTGTGTGGTTTCTGTAAGTGCAGTTCATCTCAGTGGGGCTTTATGGAGCTGAACACGGCATCTGAGCCCCCCACCACCTCAGCCTCTCCGGCATATCACTCAGAACTGTAGGTTCTCTCCATATGAGAGTTAGAAATTCACTTTACAGAGTATGTTTTGCTTTTGTTGTGCTTGATCCTGTTTTCAGTTCCATGAGTGGACAAGAATGACGCTATTACATGTGTTTGATCAACAAGAAAATAACTTCCTAGAGGTACCATGATCTGCCTGCCACAAAATTTTCTGATCAGAGAACAAATGATTTTCTACAAACGCACAGAAAACCTGAGAGATTATAAACCAAGGACTGAATAAATGCAATCTGCCTTCTGGCCCATCTTTACTGTTTATGTTATCATTTGGTTTTGTCCTGTGTCTCTACGCTGTACTCTTCTGCTCTTTTAATCATGGAGTAGTCTATTCCCAATTAGAAAAGAGGGGCTAGAACATGCAGGTAAAGCAGAGCTTCAACTATATCTGAACACTTTACATTTTCTTTGGAATGCCTACAATTAAGATATTATCAGCAAAGTATTTACTACAGTAGAGATTCTATATTTCTTTTGGCCTATGCCTAACAAAGGGCCACATTTTCTATACTTTTCAGTAAAAGCAATTACTGAAGCAAATTCCTTCAAATTAACTTAATAACAGATTAACAGATAAATAAATGTATGATTACAGTAAGTGCCTTAAACCTATGATCTTAGAATAACAACAAAAATATAAAATTATAGTACAGTCTCACTAACAATATATATAGTAATAGATATTAAATTACCTTGCTGAACATGAAATTGTATATATTCTAAGATTCCAAAATACCATAAAGAAAAAAATGTATATAGGAAAATTCTGTTTATAGTAAAATCCAAACCATAATGTCACAGAAGAAAATCTCCAATTAACAAACACTTTGTGTTGGATGTTTTCAAATTTAGCAGGTAGCTACAATATACCCTCCACTTACTCAGAATAAGTAGCATTCATTCTATCACTATAGAATAAGGAAATAAATTTCAAAACTGCTAAACCAAATTTAATATATTGTTAGAAAAGTTTTCTTTTTCCTACCTGTATAGGTGAATAAAGCTTTTTCTGCATGATCTTTAGGGATATCCTGCAAAAGAAGTGGAAAATAGATGACATAAAAAATCTAAGAAAATTTTTAAAATAGCAGGACATCTTTAACATTATCAACAATGAGTGGGTGTCAGTGGTCTCTTTCCCAGGGCATCATCTATCCCCTCCTTGCCTAGACGCAAGGCTAACAATACCAACAAAGGACACATGAGCATTAGGATAAAAGCATTACATACGCATTGAGTATTTCTGTGCACTGTAGAGCATGAATATAGTGATTAAGACTCTTTACTGTTCATAACTTTAACCAATTTAGTAATTTTACTTCTGACACCTGATAAAGGTGGAAAACACTAGTTAAAACAACATCGTATCACTAAAATTAAGCCAAACAACTAAAGAAAACAAATGGAAAGAATTTCAGATTTAGCAATGTTTCTTTATGTCATTAAAAATATAGGTACTAAGCTTGTATTTCATTTTTGTGTGTGTGTGAGATAAAATTTCAGCACAGAGAGACTCAAGTTTGCCATGTAAAGGATTTCACAGAGATGTCATCTGGCACACAGAACTGCTATCAAGAAATTCTAGTGCTTTTCATTGAGACATAACTGGTCTTAGACTAGCAGGTAATTTAAAAGCAAACTGGTGCAGCTGTCTCACCCTCCAGATAAGCAAAGCAAAGTCAGCTAGTGCACGTCAGCATCAAGGATAAAATAATCATTTCGTGGTCCCATACTGGTTCTGTGGATTTAAGTTATTTAATTCTTTGCATCTTCAAAAGACCAAAAAGAAGCAGAGAGAGTAGAACATGCATTCTGCTCCTAAGTTATACCCTTTCAATGAAACTTCGTATTTCTGCCTGAATGAATGATCCATGTTCAACATTATTGCATCTGCTTCATTCTATACACCTTTCCTTGATGAAGAGAAATACGCAAGAATTGAAGGATAAGATTCTGGACATAAGCCATTTACAAATCAATGAGAGAAAGCAGGGAGACAAAGAAAATATGCTACCATGCTGGCAACACTAGTCAATAACATGACTAGCTGGATATTACAGAAATCATCCAGTTGTCCATTATGTAAAATATGTTTTCTGGTCAGACTTTGAACAACGACAAATCTCTTTTTGTTCTTTAACACATGCTTCTGTTTTGTCCTAAATTGACTGGTTATTATAGATAACAATGTAGTACTCCTCTGTTCCCTGACTGGACTGCTGATTATATATACATTAACAGTATTTTTATAAATGCTTTCAAAGATATTAAATAACCATGGCCCAGTTTGATTTGCTATTAACAGATAATGACCTCTGTGTTTACAGACAGTGCAAGAACAAAATCAACATTAATAAGCAGAGACTCCCTGCCTATTCTCTCAAGACCTAGAACTCTAAGAGAGTGGGATTTAGCAGGCAGCAAGACAATAGGTCTGGAAACATTTTCCTGTGCTGTAATGTTAGGAACAGCTTACAGGTGCCTCCTCAGAAACTGGTGTATTAGGAACCTGCATCCTCCTTACTGGACAAACATGATTAATTCATGTTTCCTTGCTGAATGTTAAAGGATTAATACGGTAAGTTTAAAAGTAACATCAGATGTAAAAAAGACATGAGATAAAAAAATTTAAGAAGATGAGACAAACAACTTGAGAGAAATTTACTTAGCCATAGGAGATAATATCTATAAGAACATAAAGCATTTAGTAGACATAGTTGCTGGATTTTATTTCATTTATTCAAGTCTCATCAAAACATTAAGATAGAATGCTGAGACACAATAATTTTAAGCAGTGCAACCCAACCACATTTTAAAAAATAGTGCTTCTTTCAGCAGCATATATAATAAATAATGTCACAGAATAAATACAAAGAAATGCATTCTTTGAAGTGTCAGTAATAATTAAAGTATGAAAGATGTCAGCACTTTTGTATTTACTGACACATGACCATAATTTAGCACTCACATTTTACAAACACATAAATTTATAAACACACTACTGTGGTCAGACACCATTATGCTTTACACTAGTAAAAATAGTTAAACTTTGAAATATACACTTCAAATCCATTATGTACTTTATATTCTCAAATGTTGACTAGAAAAAAAGTTTCATCTTTTTCATTATCTTCAAAATCAAGATCCTAACAAATACAGTGCAAGTTTTTAAGTGACATATATCATGCAAATGATTGCCAATTTAAATCAGAATTATCATAATGTGAAAGGTTAGATTTTTGCACAGTTAAATGCCAGAAGAGATAATTCCATATACTAGTGTTTAATATAAGATAATTAGAAACTATTTTTGTACACTACTCTGCTTTTTCACTGAGGGAGTATTTATTAAAATGCTACCAATGATGTTAAAAATCTATTTTAGAAAAAATAAATTTGGTCAAGATAATTTACAATACTGAGTATTCAAGCTTTCATTACTAAAACCTTCAGTTCTTCCATCAGAATAAGAGGTCACAAATTCGCATTCAATAGCAAGTTACAGTATGTGAAGAATTGGGGTAAAATTAAATATCAACATTTCTACTAAAAGCATATAGAAAGAAGCAACTTAGAAATGTCTAAACTATACACATCTGACACAAAATACATATTGTGTTTATAAAGAACATATAAGAAATTACATTTAACATAGTATTAAACCAAATTTTAAAATATAGACAGATCAAGTTAAATTTTTGATTGGATAAATTTTAAAGTATTATATTTTGATTAAAACAATTTATTATAAGGATACATGTTCTTTCGATTTTCTACAAAAATTAGTTTTGCCATTTTAGTAAAATTATCTTTAAAAAATTCCCACTTTTGTAGTTTCAGGGTTTACCCTTTGGTGTTTCTTTAGAACTCACATCAAGTATGGTTACTAACATAATATTGTTACTTCAAAACATATTTTGTGATGGAATACTTGCCTACTAGGCATGAAGATGAATTTAATGCCTAGAATCACTGCATTTACACATATACATACATATATGCATATATATGGTTAAAAACTAAAATTTAATTTAAACATGCTAAATACTAATTTAAAAATACTAAATGAATAAAACATGAATTATTTTTGTAAGAAAAAATCACAATATATATATATATATTTTTTTTTTCCCTTAGAGTTGTATACACTCTACTTTTTCTATATTCTACAATGTGAATAACCCAATTCTGTATTTTAATCTGAGTTCTAGGTAGGATGTGGATTACTATTAGCTCCTTGGAGTTGATCTTACTAATATTTTTATGAGAAAGTTATGCTTCTATAAATTGCACACAGCTTCTCATCAAAGCATATAAACACCTATCAGAATATATGATAAATTACATCTTAACTACTAAATTATTTATTTCAATTATTAAAATATAATAATTATCAATTAAATCATTAAACTTATTAAATAAATTATTAATTAAAATTATATTAAATTAAAATGATTGATTAAATTATTAATTAAAAATTAAACTAATTATTTAAATCAAATTTTGAAATATTGTCTATTTGTAGTATCACTGTAGAACCATCTTTATTTCCTAACTAGCATTCATAGAATGAATGGTCTATATCACAAGGCCATTGTGACTTTTCAAAAGCTTCAGTTCCCTCGCATAGGGATGGAGCACTTTGAGAACAGGATGATTTCACTAGTCACTGCATGGCCAAGGTATTGAGAAGATCTTTTCCCATGAAGTTTTATTAGCGATAGGACTAGTTTTCTGCCATGAGACCTGATCTTCAGTGATTTTTTTTTTTTGAATGACAGCTGAAACATCCCTGTTAGGATAGTTCTAGAAATGTTCTTAAACAACTTGTATAGCCCCAGCCGAGGTCTTGTCAGCTGATCTGAGACTAGCAATGACAGCATCCCAAGGACAGATTGTCAAGTTGTCACGTTCAATACCTTTCTGGAATAAAAATCTCCATGTGTGCAAAATGTGTTGTATTTTAAAATCACAGAGATCCAGGATGTGTAATTTTGGGCTATGTTTATTTTATATACCATGGCATAAGGGTAACTTTATTTGCACATATATGCATATCCTCTGAAAATACATTTTATTTTGACCATTAAGTTCATTACTAAGAAATACCAACTATTATTTTGCAAAATAAAAATAAATCATTTTATTCAGAAAGTCTAAAGTAAGAAATTCTTCCCCTTACTTGAATTTATATATCACCCAAAATAATAAATGTATAATCTAACGTCAATAGTGATAAGTACTATGAAGATATACACAGATGTAAAAGGTGGTATTAAGGTTTTCGATAAAGGGAGAAATTAGGCAGATTAAGAGGGAAAAGAACAAAAGATGCTACACTGCTCCCTGGGGGCCATAAGCTATTGCCCGAATTCTTTTTTTTTTTTTTTTTTTTTTTTTTTTTTTGACATTTAAGCATGATATTCTCCTTCAGGTCACCATGTGCTTTTGCTGTGATTTGGGATAATGATGTGCATTTTGCAAGACTTTACAACACTGATGTTTGACTGGAAAATATATGAAAGAGTAAACACCTGATAAGAAAGCAATGATTAATGAGAAGGGCTTAGAATAACTCAATGGGCTTCATTTAGCTTTGGACATTATGCCAAGTCACATGTTTGTGAAAACTCGTAACTATTATTTCCATTTAATAGATTTTAAAAGCACAGATACTTAGGAGGATTTGGTCATTTCTCAACATCATAAAGTTTATAAGGGTACTAAAAGCACTGTTTTGATCTGGAGCCATCTCTGTTGAGCCAAATTCCTCCAGTTCTACCATACTAATACTGACTCTGAGGACGGAAACTGTAAGTCTCCTACACTGTGACAGCGATTCTCCTCTCCCTTAACAACTAACAATATACCAATCCTAATAATTTGTTTGTGCTATGGTTTAAAATGTCTCAAGGCATATTTCCTACATATCTATTAACATTTAAATTCTGAAGTAGATATTATTCAGAAAAATGAAGGTCAGCGAGTATAATGATCATTCATGTAACTTCATTTAGAGTTGGCAGGAAGG